ATTTTTTTAATAGTCTACCATGATTACAATGTAATATCAGTTCATAATTTTCTTAACTTATTGACAATGTACACACACCTTACAGACGTAGCTATTCAAACTCAATACATCTAAAGAGAATAATCTTCCATAATAATTAGACATACAATTAAAAAATCAACCCATTCCACCTTATCTTTTTTATTCTCTAAAAATTATTTGTGAGATGAGATTGATATTTTATATATGGTGGATATTATTGTACAAATAGATGAATCGGGATATAAGATAAATAATTTGAGACGTGCATAAGATATTATCCTTATGAACAGGGACGAAACCCCCTTAGTGTCCAAGGGGGGCTCGGCCCCTGCTAAAATTTATATATTCGATATAATTTTGGTTTAATAGTATTTTAGTTCATGTAAAAATAAATATTTAAATTTAAAAGATATAAAAATTTGTTAAATATTTAATCAAGTAGGGGTTGAACTAAAGAATGATAAGTATGTGTTCTCAAATTTTTGTCTAATTATAATTTAAGTCATTGAAGTTTAAATATTAAACAAATTAGAAATTGTCTTTTGAGTTTTGAGTTTTTTTTTTAATTTAGGTTGAATACAAGGTAATATATGTTCAAAAAAATTTCAATTATTTGACAATGAATGCTCATACCCCTACAAAAGTACTTGAACTCAGGACCTCAATGATAACAACAATCCCTTAATCACTAAGGTCGCTTGATTCATGTTGAATTTTGAGTTTAAATACCTAATAAGTCTTTATATTTTTCTTAAATAGTCTAATATTTCGGCCTCTATCAATATTTAATTTTGGCTCTGTTCTTGCTTATGAAAAAAATTTCATCTAGGTTCACAGAAGGTAAGATCATTTTCAACCATAGTCGGAAAAGATTAAAACTTTTGTAAGATTTTGATGAGGGTTGACTAAGGGATTTGTAATCACATTTCTACGTCAAGATCTGTTTCTCTCTTTCTTCTGTTCTATACATAAATTTAACTCACTTTAATTTTTGATCAAAGTGAGAGAGGTTGAGGAGCTCTTTAGAGCAAAAGAAAAGGAGAAAATATTTTTTGGTTGGAAAAAGGAGTTGGCTTTTAAGGTTTTGAGCAAGGTAGTACACTTCTACTCTTCCCTTCATGTTTTTCATGACATAATGCTTTGTGTGTTGAATTTGTGTATATTAGGTGTATTATAAAACATGCTCTAATAAATCAAATCTTAAGTGTCGCGATTAAAATCTACCAACCCTACCTTGTACTCAAAATATTTAGGAATGAATATTGGATTGCTCGACGGAGGAATGCTCAACGTAGGATTGTCTGATGGAGGACTACCATGGGAAGGACTATTAGCAGAGAACCATCCATCAAAAGACTGCATGACAGACTACTGTGAAAGGTTCGAGGCAAAAATTCGATCATAATCGAAACAATACACAGTAGAAAATTTTAAATTTTCTCGAATTAACCTTGGATGTTATGAATATCATACTAATTACAGTAAAGAACAATCATGAGATTACCTTAATCGTTGGTTCGAAAATCCTTCTATGTTTTCTCTGAAGTTCTTTCAATCTTTAAAGGTGTTGTCTTTCTGAAAGATGACCATCCTCTATAGGTATTCACATGCGAACGAACGATGAATGGTTATAGAATGCTAGTTCTAATATTTTTTCTCAAAAACAATTTTTTTGTTGTTTTTGTTTTGAACGACTGTAGAGAGTGATTATACTTACCCTCATGCATATAATATCTATATGTATGACTTGCCTAGGGTTAGGTTAAATCCATTGTTTTTAAATTAACTAATTTAATTATTATAAATTTAAAATTCCTTTTAAATTAAATAACAATTTAAATCATATCCCTTATCTGATAAGGAATTTAATTTCAACCAAAACTTAATAAACAAGTTATCTAATAATAGTATTTAATATTATTACTGTAACGCCCCAAATCCATATTAGTTTCGAGCAAATCTGAGAAGATTTAAATAAGCCCACTAGACATATTGAAAAGCTTGGACCAAATCAAGGATGGATTTGGGCTTGAGTTAGGCCCAAATGATAGGAAGATGGGTATTATTGATATTTAAATGGAAGAGGAATGACCAAAAGGGCTATTATGTCATTGTATAATTCAAAAGCTGATTTGGTTTTAATGAGGATGATGCATTATGCTTACCCATTCCCCTCTTTTTTACTCATTTTCATTGTTCCATGTCTCCTACCTTCTTCATCTCCAATTCCATAGTTTTTCTTTCCCCAAGCTAGAGTAAAGGTGAAAACTTGGTAGACCATCAAGCTTAGTACGAAATTTTCAAGGTAAGAATCATAATATCCTCACTCCAAGCTTTTATTTAAGTTCTCAATCTCAAGGTTTGGCCATAATGGTCGTAGATGGGGGTTTCATGGGGGTTTAAGAAGCTAGGGATTTCTAACTCATTTTTGATATATTCGAATTAAAAAAAAGTATTTTTTGTTTCATTTGGTATCTTAAATAAGTTTGTAACACCCAAATCTGATCCGACCCGAGTATGGAGGGTTTGGATATTACACGAGACCACCAAAGTGACTAACTCAAAAAGTTCCTTTTAAAACGTTTCAATTTCGTAAATTAAAACATCCATTGGAGTAATGAAATAGACAAAATAATTAAGTTTAAAAACGGAGGAGCTCCCAAAATTAAATCTCAAATACATACAAGTTATCAAAAGAGTTATGACTCAAATTACACACAATAGTCTATGAAATACATGCCCACTAAAATAACAATACATACTCTCCAGCTTGATGATATATGGATTTTCACTATCTGACGATAAGGTCTCAGACTGACACCAACTGACCTGTAAATGGAAATAATTATGAACGCTGAGCTATGAGCTTAGTGCCACATAAATAACTCTACTATACTACATGCATCCATTAGCCATGAATGCTAGCAAGTTAGGTCATGCTGCAACAAAATGCATCAACATAGGTCATAATAAAGTATCAACATAAACACAACGTTCGAGTACACAAGCATATTATGGCCTTCCATCGCATAACAAAAATGCCTTAGTACTAATACTAAAGTGCCTCAACACTGTTACTGAATTGCGATTGCATTGATACTAAAGTGCCTTACCGTTGATAAGAGAAAATTCAGATATCTCTATTCTCAATAATAAATCGAACATGCATAAACTCAAGTGACTCAGGTGTCCTCGTCATTTCCCGAGTATCAACAAAGTCTAGTCTCATGTCACAATAATATATCGTTCTTGTTATAATGATTATTATTAATTTTCTCACTTATAGTCTTATTAGAGAAGTCTCAATGACTCTTTAACCCCATTTCTAAGTACCTGAGACAAGTTAAGTTCTCTACCCAAACCAGGATGAGGGTATCGATACTAGGCCCAACAGTATCGATACTGGCTTTTAAAAATATCGATACTGCAATGGATTATCGCTAAAAATATCAACACTAAGCTTTCAATATTGATACTTTACCTTGGTATCGCTACTCCCATGAATACCGATACCAAAATTGACTATTTGAATTTGTAAAGTGTCTACAGTATCGATACTTTACCACTAGTATCAATACTCACCTTGAAGTACCAATACCCAATGAAGGAGTATCAATACTACTAGCCTAGAACTTCTTTCTTTAAGGTTATACGAAGAGCAATATCGATATTGTTTCTCTTGTACTGATACCACTGCCTAAAAATACCTTGTTTAGGCATTAAAATGGTTTCCCAACACCCCCTCATAAGCCTCTCTAAGACTCTTGAACATTTTAAGCTTTATGGGAGTTTATAGCATCATTATTAGTCATTCCTAAACAACATGAACATCAAACAACTCATTTTCCTCAAAAAGCATTGTGACCCATATTTGTACTAATAAACAAAAGCGAGCATAACACAACCTAATGGTCTACATGCGGTATAGGTAAGTTAGTTATGCGTTACCTCAACACTAGTTGATGGAAAGTGCTCCCAAGATCATCCAAGTGCCAACTTCTCCTTGTTCTTGGCCTTTGAGCTTTCACCCACCTCTCTCACTAACGGAGAATAATATTGATATATTATTCTACAATACTCCTAACACTCATTTCTAACTTCAATTCAATAAATTTCTTTGAATTCAAGTCTCCCCTTCATCCACATAAATCACCCACTACACCATTCAAGCATGAAACCAAGAATTAATTATACCCTCTTGTAGAGAAAATAGTGTAGGTGAATTTCTTATTTCACGATTTAGTCCCAAAACTCACTAAATTTTATCAAAAATGGAAGAAAAAGTTGGCTCACCATGACTGTGGGTTTGGCAGCCTACTGGAGAATAAGAGAAAATCTCACGAAAATTCTTAAGAAAAATCTCCGCAATTTGACTTTTAAAACTAATAAAATAATTTTTTATTCATTTTGGGCCAAAAACCAAAATTGCCATTAATGAATTCCCATTTTTACCTCCATGCCACTCCTTCATCTCTATTTTAATATTATTAATTAACCATAAAAATATCATCCCTCAATTTTTCTTTTTAAACCTCAAATTTTCTAAAATTTCAATTTAGTCACTAAATTGCAGTATTCCACTTTATAGTGCAATTCTCACAAAATTCCACCAATCCAACTTAAATTCCACTAATTAAAACTATCCATATAATTTTTCTAACCCAAAACTACCTTCCTTCAAATTTATTGTAGACTTACTATTCGATCCGTTTATTTGAGTATTATATTGATCTTCATCCTTTAATAGACTTTTATGCAAACTCCAGATTAAAAATTTAAAACCTACTAAAATAATTATCTTGGGATGAACAACTTATTTACAGCCCAAGATATAACTTTTAAAAATTTATATTTATAGGTCTTACAATTTACAACTTTACACTTTAGTCCTAAGCTTTTAAATTTTTACATTCCAGTCACTAGTCCAAAATTCAGGATATTACAATTCTCCCCCCTTTTGAAAATTTTTCCTCGAACTTTCAGTTATCTTCTGCTCCAAACATGTGAGGAAACTGCTTTCTTATATCCCCTTCGTGTTCCCAAGTAGCTTTATCTACTTTATGATTGCGCAAAAGGACCTTAACCAGTGGAATCATCTGGTTCCGTAGTTCTTTGACTTCATGTACCAAAATCTTCATTGTTTCTTCCTTATAGGTCAAATCCGGCTGAATCTCTATTTCCTCCGATGTGATGACGTGTGAAGGATCCAATCGATATCTTCAAAGCATTGATACATGAAAAACATTATGAATCTTGTCCATTTTCGGAGGCAAAACCAACTGATAAGCTACCATAACCACTCTTCTCACAATATCATATGGCCCAATAAATGTTGGACTTAATTTTCCTTTTCTGTCAAATCGTAGAATCTTCTTCCAAGGTGACACCTTAAGAAATACTTTATCGCCACTTGGTATTCTATTCCCTCTCTCTTCAAATCTGCATAGGACTTTTGTCGATCTAAAGCTATCATGAGGTTATCCTGAATAATATTCACTTTTTCTTCTACATCCTTGATTATATCTGGGCCAATTATATCTCTATCTTTTAACTCAAACAAATTTAACGATGCCCTGTACTTTCTTCCATATAAATCTTCGTAGGGCGCCATCTTGATACTTGCTTGATAACTATTATTGTAAGCATATTATGCTAAAGGCAAGTATTTCTCCCATGATACTTTAAACTCAATCACACATGCGCTTAACATATCTTCTAGAACTTGGATAGTCTGTTCAGACTGACCATCTATTTGCAGATGAAAAGTTGTGCTAAAATTCAATTGAGTACCCAAGGCTTCATACAAAGAGTTCCAAAACCTTGAAACTACCTTGGATCTCTATCTGATACAATTGAAGCTTTCACTCCATGCAATCAAACTATCTCTTTGATGTATAGCTCTGCATACTTGTCTATCGAGTAGTCAGTTCGAACTATAATGAAATGTGTTATTTTGGTCAATCTATCAACTATCATCCAAATTGAGTCCTTTTTACTCGGTGTTAATGGTAGCCCCTTATGAAATACACCATAACTCATTTCTACTTCCACCGAGGAATAGAGATCGGATGTAGCAATCCCGATGGCACCTAATACTCAGCTTTTACCTGTTGACACGTTAAGCACTTTGCGAAAAACTCTATAATAGACATTTTCATACCATGCCACCAATATCGACTTTTCAAGTCTTGATACATCTTATTGGAAGCATAGTCAACGGACTAAAATGTGCCTCGAAAAGAAGTTCTTTCTTCAATTCCTCATCATTTGGAATATATATTCTACCTTGATAGTATAAGCACCCATCAGATTTTACTTCAAAAATCCTTTGTTTCTCCTTTTTCTACTTGCTCCATTCTCGATAAGCACTTTTCATCTTTTATTTGTAGCACTTTAGTCCACTCCAATAAAATAGGCTTTATTCTTAGTTCAACAACTAAGGCACCATCTTCCATCCAAGATAATCAGCATTAAAGGAACGCAAAGCTGAAAAAGTCTTTTGGCTAAGTGCATCAGCAACCATATTTACCTTACCTGGATGGTAATCTATGATCACATCCTAGTTCTTGAGTAGCTCAATCCATTTCCTCTTTCTCAAGTTCAACTCCTTTTGAGTCAACAAGTATTTTACATTTTTTATGATTGGTGTAAATATAACACCATTAACTATACAAATAATGGCGCCAAATCTTTAGTGCAAATACCACCGCTACCAACTTAAGATCATGTGTCGGGTAATTTCTTTCATACGACTTGTGTTGTCTCAAGGGGTATGCTACCACTTATCCAACTTGCATTAGAACACACCCCAAACAATTATGAGATGCGTCGCTATACACCATATAGTCTTATCCCGATTCTGGTTGTACAAGTACATGAGCCTCTGTCAAAACCTTCTTCAAAGTCTTGAAACTTTCTTGGCACTTCTCGGTCCAAACAAAAGACACATATTTCCTTAATAGCTTTGTAAATGGAGAGACGATCATCGAAAAATCCTTTACAAACCTTCGATAGTATCCAGCCAAGAAACTTCGGAGCTTAGATACATTCTTTGATACTTTCCATTCCATTATAGCTTTAATTTTCTGAGGATCCACTTGAATCCCTTTACAGACACCACATGCCCGAGAAATGCAACTTTATAAAACCAAAATGTACATTTTGATAACTTAGCATACAATTTCTTTTCTCGAAGTTTCTAAAGAATAATGCGCAGATGGGCATCATGCTCTTCTTTGGTCTTCAAGTAAACCAGAATATCATCGATAAACACAATAATTAATTGATCTAAATATGGATGGAATACTCAATTTATAAGATCCATATAGGTTGTTGGAGCATTTGTTAACCCAAAAGGCATTACCACGAACTCGTAGTGTCTATACTAAGTCTGAAATGCTATCTTTAGAATGCCCTCTTCTTTAATCTTCAGTTGATGGTATCTCGATAGAAGATCAATATTCTAAAACACTACTACACATTTTAACTGGTCAAACAAGTCATCAATCCTCAGAAGAGGATACTTGTACTTCACCATCACCTTGTTTAATTGCTGATAATCTATGCATAATCACATCGATCCATCATTTTTCTCTACAAATAGCACCGGTGCTCCCCAAGGTGACACACTCGGTCTGATAAATCCTCTGTCCAAATATTATTTCAATTGGGCCTTTAATTCCCTAATTTATGTTGGTGTCATCCTATATGGAGCCATCGATATTGGCGTAGTACCAATTAATACTTCAATCATGAACTCTACCTCTCTATCGGGAGGTAATCCTAGAAATTAATCTGGGAAAACATCCAGCTACTCTATAACAGTTGGAATATCAACCAATCTTACTTCATAAGTTCGAGTATCCAACACGTTGTCTAAAAACGTCTGACACCCATGTAGTAGTAACTTCTTAGCAGCAATAGCTAATACCACATTGGATAAGGGATTCATCCTTTCCCCGACTACTATCACCTCTGATCCTCTCGAATTTCTTAATATCACTCACTTTAAATGACAATCTACCATGGCATGGTAAGTTGATAACCAAACCATACCTAAAATAATTTTAAACTTCTCAAAAGGTAGCTCCAATAAGTTCCTCGGAAATTCAATTCCTTGAATTTCTATCAGACAACTTTGACACAATCTAGTAAACCTCACATTCTGACCCAATGGATTTATCGCTAATATATCATAAGAAATAGGTTCTAGTTGGATCCCTCATTCTCTAATTAGCTTTGTAATAATATAAAAAAGTAAAGAACCATTATCTATTAAAACAAAAACAGGCGCACCATAAAGATAAAATGTACCTGCTATCACCTCCAGATCATCTTTGTCTTCAGTGATCTTGATATTATAAACTCTAGCTGTGGTATGCATCTATGACTATGGACCAAACTCAAATAATCCTCTTTCTCGGCCTCTACCTTGGTGTCTTTGAGAAACAACAACAAATCGCTCTGTTTGGGATGCTCCCACAGTCGCCAACGTATAATCTTTCATAAAATGGACAATCTCACCACAATGAAAATATGCACCAGTAACCACTCGACACACTCCAGAATGAGATCAACCATAAACATTATATAGTCGAAATTCCTTCTGAGCTGATCAACTAGCACCTGAAGCAGTTGACTGTGACCATTTGCCTCTACTAACATTGGGTCGTTTAGGACTAAAAGAAACACCCTCTGATTAACTCTGAGGTCTGAAACTATAACCTTGACCCCTTTTGGACTGAGAGATAACTGAAAATGACCCGATCTCTTGGATGACTGTAACCTCTACTCTGTAAACTTCTTATTTTGTGCACGTTTTAGGATTTTAACTCGGTTTACTATTTTTTGAAATGTAGGCATCTACAACACCAACATAAACTCTTTCAACCTCGGACGCAATCCCTCAATAAACCACTCACACCAGTCCTTCTCAATAGGGATCAATTCTGAGTCAAATCGAATTAACTGGTTAAATTCAACCCCAAACTCATAAACACATCGATTGCCTTGCTTCAAATTTAAGAATTGTTGCTTCATTTCTCCTATGATCTAGATGCCAATATACTTTGTTGAAAACATTTTGAAGTTTCGATGTAAAAATTAAGTGTTATTGAATTTTAAGATTTTATAAATCATTTTTAATGTACATTCGATTCAATTATTTGAATATCAAAACATTACTCCAAGTTTTTCAAAAATCAATTTTAATCCTTACTAAAGTGTAAAATTGTGTTTTTAACTTAAAATATTTTTGAAATAATTTTACAAAGTATTTCGAACCAAAATCGAGCCAAAAATTAATTTTCCAAAGGGTTGTACCGATGTACTCCATGATGCATCGATGCACACCCATTTCGAATGCATTTTGTGTACCGATGCACAAGCCATGCATCGATGCACTCTTGAATATTTTGAAACATCAAATGCATTTTGTGTACTGATGCACAAACCATGCATCGATGCACCCCTGGGTTTTTCATGCATCAATGCACTCCCTGGCTCTTTAAAACATCGAACGTAATTAGTGTACTGATGCACCCCTAGTGTACCGATGCACTAAGTCTTATAACAGTCAAAATATTTGAATTTTACACATAGTGTACCGATGCACCTTGGCTATGCATCGATGCACATACGCTCCTAACTATTTTATTTAATTATTTTCACACAATAACGACTCTATTGGCTTCACCAATGATCCCCAACGATCCCCAACGTTCGGAAGTGATTCAAGATGTATTTAAACAAGCTTAGGAGCTATTGATCAACAACAATTAAAAAGAGAAGTTAGAGAATCAAAGAGAAAGCATCAAACCTCAAGTTTGAGCATTTCAAGCCAAATTTTCATTCAATATTCATTTTGCTTTCAAGAACACTTATTGTGCTCAATTGTATTCATTTTTTAGTGTTCTTTCTTTGTTATAGAATTGTGCAAACATCTTACATTGTGAGGTTTTTCTGTAAGTTTGTAAATTTGTGTATTTCTCTTTGGGAGAAAGTGTTCTAAAGAATTTAGGGTATAATTCTTGAGGGAGTTGTAAGGTTACCCTTTGTCCTTAAATGAAAGAACAAATTAGTGAATTTGTTGGAAAATCCTTAGTGTGGATAGCTAATGTAGTGGACGTAGATGAACCACTCTAAATCGCTGTGCAATTATTTATATTTTCTGTAAAAGCTTCCATCAAAATTTTTATTGCCAATTCACCCCTTCTTGGCTATTTCGTCGATCGATTAACTCAATATACTTGTTATTTAATTCCTCCAAAAAATTGCCACGTCACCTATTCTGGAGGAAAATGCATCGTGGTGTTTGTCCACCATATCCTGATTGGACCCCGCAATAGAGAAACCACTTCATCCAACCTTTGTTGATCCGAGTAATGAAATCCATCTAACATCACCCTCACATCATGTAACCATAAATCCGCCACTACGAGATCCTCTTCAGCTTCTCCTTTAAACTCATATGCACCTAAACTCTTTAATTCCTTTGCTATCAACATTCGAGAAGCTTGAGGAGCAGGGGAATGAGCAGAATGATAACATTGCAAGATAGCCTCTAATGCTTGCAGAAACATTCCCTGATCAGGTACAGGTGCTCCATGGGGT